CATGGATTCATTCTTCTGTATGTGGAAATCCAAATCTCCAAGCACAATTTATTAAAGAAACTCTTCCATTAGTACTTTTGTTGAAAATCAGTTGACTGATTATGGATTTATATCTGGATTCTCAGCTACATTCCATTGGTCTATATGTATATTATGGAGTCCTGGTGTGACTCTGTGAGTTAATGCACTAGATTGCAAGGTTGGTGTGAACCACAAGGTTGCTGGTTCAAGCTCATTAACCACTCCTTGGAAATCCTATACAGGATCGCTATGAGTGGAACCAACTCGACAGCTCTTAACAACAACAAAATATGTCTACTATACCACTACTCAGCTGTTTGATTACTGAAGCTTTTTAGTGTGCTTTGAAATAAGGTAGTGTGCATCCTCCTCTTCTATTCTTCTTCAAGATTGCTGTAGCTATTTGCAGTCCCTTGTTCTTCAATATAAATTTGAGGATTGGCTTTTCCATTTCTGTGAAGAAGGCTGTTGGAATTTTCATGAGAGTTGCATGGAATTTATTGATTGCTTTGGGTAGTGTTGACATATTAACTTTATGAAACCTTCTAACCCACAGAGAATGTCTTTCCATTTAGTTAGGTCTTTTCAAATCTATTTTAGTAATGTTTGATAGTGTTCAGCATACAAGTCTTTCACCTTCCTGATTAAATTTGTTCCTAGGTACTTTGTTCTTTTAGGTATTATTGTGCCTTTTTTTTAAATAAAAAGCTTTGTTGAAATACAATTCATATCCCATAAAATTCACCTTTTTTAAATGTACAATTTAGTGTTTTTTAGGATAATCACAAAGTTGTACAACCATCAGCACAGTACAAGTCTAGAACCTTTCCTTCAATACAAGTAAGAGTCCAGCAACTATGAGTAGTCACTTCTCTTTCCCCAACCCTAAACCCTGGCAACCTCTGAGGGGGCTGCAGAAAGTTTGTGGGAAAATGCAATTGAAAGAACATGGAATTTTCCCATGAACTTTTTAATATCCCCTTATATTTTCTGTCCCAACGAATTTGCCTCTTCTGGCCATTTCATATATAATATGTGGCCTTTTGTATCTGATTTCTGTCACTTACCATAATATTTTCAAGATTCATCCATACCATAAGTATGTATTCGAATTACACTACTTTTTTAAGTTTTTATTGTGAATTGAGTGATATTTTCCATGGGAGAAATCAGTTTTATACTCATTGTTTCATTGCAATGATTACAATCCTCTCTGTACATCATCATTCAACAATATTTGCTTCTACTCCCTTGGTTTTTGTTTTTTTGTTTTGGATGTACACAAAAACACTCAGGAATATAAAATCATTTAAACGACCAAAGGACACGTTCTGCAAACCTGCCTCCTGGCCGTCAGCACACTGCCTTTCCCTTTCCATGAGTCTAGAGTCCTCAGCTACTCTTTCTCTCCATGTCATCACCTCTATCTGCCTCCATCTCTGGTGTCGCTGCTTCTCTGGATAGGGTCCCACATTCTGCTCATACTCCTTTGTTCCTGGAATATAAGATTAACTACTCCCCCCTTTTTGTTACAAAACTTCTACCTTTACAGTTGTGACCATCACAATTAGTCATGATAACAATTAATTCACTATTGAATCATAAGAATTTTAACCCCATATCCTTTCACCAGACCCGTCTAAACAAGATAAAAACTATTCATTGGAAATTCTACCTTCCCCAGCATATTCTGAAAGTAAACTCCCTCATGAAAACTTGTAAGCCAATCACTTCATGCCTTTATAGCTGACTCATTTTAGGTAGCCAATGTCTAACTTGCCCGCCCCTATCAACCCTGTACACAGAGGAGACAGAATTGATCCTTGATGTGAATGAAGACTCCTTCCCCCTTGGTTGGTATTTTGAGCTACTACATCCATAAGTAAGGAGCTCTGGTAGCGTAGTGGTTACGAATCGGGCTGCGAACCTTAAGGTCAGCGGTTCGAAACTACCAGCTGCTCCGCGGGAGAAAGATGAGGTTTTCTACTCCCGTAAAGATTTACACCCTTGGAAACCCTGTACAGGGTCGCTACGGGTCGGACCCGACTAGTTGGCACTTAACAACAACAACAACAACAACATCCATAAGTATAAGTCAAGTTCATCAAATTGTAGCAATTTATACTTGTTTCCTTTATCAAAATTTGTTTATCTTCCTCTAGTCAAATTCTAATTATCAAGCCATCAACACTAGGTCAAATGGATACTATCTGCCAGTTTAGGCATTCTTGTGCATCTGCCCTCACTACATAACAGCTGTAAGAAGCTTCACTCTCAGCTCTAGCTCTCTGTGACTATGTCCTTGTCCATGAGCTCAGGAGCCCCCAGGTCTCACCACACTTTGAACCAACCAGCCCTTCCTCTTCTCTCTCTCATCTCCAGGTCAATGGGAGTCTATGGAATGTGGTTGAATTCAGTCCATTTCTTCATTGCTGCCTTTCCCCGTCTTCCACTCATATGCTTGCCAGCAAGCTTACATGCCTGCTTGTGTGTTCTCTTTCAGTTTCTGTCTTACTACAGTCTTTTTTTTTATGACTGAATAATATTCCACTGTGTGGATATAACAGTTTGTGTCTATCACTTCATCTGTTGATGGAATTTGGTTTTCACTTTATGGTTGCTATGAACTAAATGCACTATGAGCATTTGTTTACACATTTTTATAGCGATATGGGAAGGACCTATCGTAGTGTAGTGGTTTCAAGCTGGGTTGCTAACCTCAAGGCTAGCAGCTCAAAACTACCAGCTGTTCCATAGGAGAAATATGAGGCTTTCTGCTCCCATAAAGATTTACAGGCTAGGAAACCCTGTGCAGGGCCACTATGAGTCGGAACTGACTCCAAGGTACACCACCACCACCACCAAATAGACTTGTGCTTTCAATTCCCTTGGGTATGTAGATAGGAGTAGAATGCTGGATCATATGCTAAATCTATGCTTTACTAACTTAAGGAGCTGTCAGACTGTTTCCCAAAGCACTGTACTACTTTACAATCCCAACAGCAGTGTACGAGGGTTCCATTTTTGTCATCACCTCACTAGCACTTGCTATTGTCTGTCTTTTCTATTTTGGCCAACAGATATTACTGCTATTGATTTTAATCTTGTGGTACCTTCAGCATGTTGAAGTAATTGCTTTGCTTACTTTCTATCTTAACCTCTATGGACTTCAAGCTCCTGGGAGACACAGATTATACTACCTTGCAGTCTTCCATCTCTTGCCTAATTGTTTATTGAGCTGAGTCACATATTGAACCCACATCTTGTCATCCATCTATGTATGGGATCAACATTTAACTTCCAACTATGTGTCATGATCTGGGCTGGAGATGGATGCCTTTTGTAAAAAGAGGAATCAGCTATATTCTTCATCTTCAAATAAATAGATTGGACTAGTAGTGCATGTGGAGTGGAGAATAGGAAATTTAAATAAAGAATGGCTCATTAGAAGACTCAGACCAAAACCAAACAGTGGAAATTTATTTTTAACTAATTTAGCAAACCAGAAATGTTGTTGCTAAGTGCCATCAAGTCGGTTCTGACTCATAGCAACCCTGTATAGGGTTTCTGTGGAGCGGTGGGTGAGTTTCAACCACCAGCCTTGTCATTCAAACTGATCTTGTGGTCCAGTGCATTATCATGCAGTTCCCTACCAGAAATAAATGTTTGTTTGTTTTTTATTATTTTTTATATTTTGGCAGGGGCCATTGTGATAACTTTTTCTTGGCAGGGGCCGTTGTGATAACTCTGAATCAACAGAAATGAATCTTTCAAATTGCACACACTGGTCTCATCCTTAAGGAGGCAGTGATGAGTCCCTCTGCCCCAATACTGGACTGTGACCAGGGGAGAGAGGATGGAATCCTCAGTGCTCTGTCCTGGCTCCTTGGCTCAAAGACCAGACCCAGGGAAACACCCACCAGCGCATACACATGTGCTGTATGACCTGTGACCCCACCCCCACCCCCAAGCTCGCCCAGGCCCAGTTACCAAATCTGGAAAATCTGTGAGGAAAATGAATGAACTGGCTGATTAAGATTGGGCCTGAGGGCACTTAACACAATAGTCCCCAGAGGATTTAAAACATGTGCCTTTCCTAATCCTGCCACTGCTTCTTGGATGCCTGTTTTCATCCAAGCTGGGGCACTTTTAAAAGTGAAAAGCCAAACTCACTACCACAGAGCCGATTCTGACTCATCACAACTCTAGATAGGGTTCTTGAGACTGTAAATCTAAATGTGAGCAGACAGACAGATCCAGCTTTCTACTACAGAGCAGCTGGTAGGCTTGACCCGTGCGTGACATTGTGGTTAGCAGCCTAATACTTAGCCCATAATCAGACCTTACTGGGTCAACTGGGGCACACTGGCACCTAGTCCATCCTGCACATCAGTTCTACCCTCCTGGAGAGGTGCTCTCAGCTCCAAGCTGCCGTCTCTTTCCAGATCTGTCCTCAGAAGGTCTGCTCAGTCCTCATGGAACCCACACCACGAAAGGGGGACCACTCCTGGGGCCTTTTTTCAACTCTTCCTGTGAGGAGTTGTTGGGTACTAGATCACAAGTGTCTCAAAGTCAGGTACTAGGCCAAGGTAGTTGATCTTTTAACAGATACATAATCAATTAATACTAATGGCAGTAAGGAGACCCTGTTTGCTGAAATCAGAGGTCAAGTCATTAAAGCATTCTCCTCAAGCCCTCAGTATCTTCCCATTTACTTCTTGAGTTTCCTGCACAAAGCTCAGGAAGTCACTTCATAGGTAAATGTATCTCTGTGGACAGAGTATCAACCACTTGTCTGGAACTTTTCAGGAATTTTAATGAGTCTTGCTGAGGAGCAACTACAAGTAGTAACTGTGTTTGTGGTTGTGGCATTTTCAGTCCTGATTCAAAATCTTCATGAGCTTGATGTGTTCTATAATGGATTTAGTAGAAACAGCATTGAGCTACAATAGAGCTTACATTTCCCCTCTGTTTTCCAGGATCAGTACAAATTCTGCTATGAGGTGGCTCTGGAATACTTGAACTCTGGCTGACGGCATCCACAGCTCTGCAAGCAAACCCAGTCTACCACAAAGCCAAGATGTTCCATGGTGTTTGCCTATGTGAGATGAAGACTTCTCAATCTGCTTATTTTGCTTTGCATAATTGGCTCTTTTTAAGAGCCCAAGAAAATGTCTGTAAAACTGCCTGCACTGCCCAGTTCCCATGGTAATGCTGCCGCCTGGCAGGCCCTCATCCACCACTGTATTGGTCAAATACTCTGCCCGGAACCGCCAACCTGGGAGGGCAGTGCAGCGCCGCACAGATGGCTGGTCAATCGTAGAGCACAACTATATTCTTATGAAGGAATTTGTACCTTTGGGGTATTATTTTGTGACCCGTGACCCTTTGTTATTGTTACAGCTGAGTGTACATTTCTGTTCTGTGGAGAATGCTACCTGGCATTATGATAATATATTATTTTAGTTAATATTTGTATTTTAACATGTTGCATAATATAAGCTTATTTAGCAGTCCAGGACTAACAGATAAACACATAATGAACAAAGATACATTGTCTGAGTTGTTGTTTCTATCAGATTTGTATTGTTTCCAAGGGAAAGGCTTGGAAGGCATTCAGTTCAAAAATGCAAAAGCCGATCAACAGATTTAAAGATCCAAAGCTTTTCCATTTGTTGATATTGTAAATATTTTTGATTTCATTGAATTATTTATTCATTAAAAGAAAATTTTGTGAAGCACATTGAGTGACAATCATTTTTTTTAAGCCCTGGAAATACTTTACTGTATGATGTTACCTTGTGTGAATTCTCAACTCAATAAATACTGACACGTGGCATAGGTGTGTTGTATTCCTAGTGTCCAGCATATAGCTGGTGGAGGTGGTTGCCCCCAAGCAGACCACTGGGAGAGATTGTGCTGAGGGTGTATTTACCCAGCACAGTACGTTTGAGAAGGAACGTCTGTCAGTAAGAAATCTAAGCCCATCATACTAGCCTGCCCCTCCCTGGTATTGAGGCCACACAGATATGGGTACCCACTATGGGCCCTGCAGGCTGTTAGAAAGAGCACAGACCAGACACCTGAACAGGAAGTGTCTAACTGAGAAATCCCTTCACTTCAATCCATTGGGGATCACAGCTGTCTTCCCCAGTCCCTAAAAACTCCCGAGATAGCAGTCTTAGAGGGTTCCAGAATCAAGAGTGCATGTAAACAGGAGACAACACTGAAGACGACAAAGCCTGCTGAGGGTCTCCCAATGTAGGAAGGACAGCAGGCTAAGGCTGGCACCCACAGCTAGAGAAGTATTAAATGATGCTGGTAGATTTGTAGTATCATTTGAAGCTTGGCTTTAGGCTGTGTTAGATAATTGCTGGTTAACAATGGAAACTAATCTTTACTGAACACCTATAAGAGTAAGTCAAAAAGTAACCTACAGGAACAAACAAGATGGCGGATCGGGTGGATGTATAGCAGAGAGCTCCGCCAACAACAACACAGAATACCCGACCAAGCAGGTTCAGGGGATGGTCCCAGAACTCTGAACCACATATAAAGGAATACTTAGAAGGTTGGAAGGCTCACAGCTAGGGAATTTGTGGCAGAAGCAAGAAATC